TATTTAAAGGGATAGTTCACCCAAAAATGAAAATTCTGTCATTAATTACTCACCCTCATGTCGTTCCAAACCCATAAGACCTTCGTTCATCTTCGGAACACAAATTAAGATATTTTTGAGGAATTCTGAGAGCTTTCTGACCCTCCATAGACAGCAAGGGTACTACCACGGTCAAGGCACAGAAACGCAGTAAGGACATCGCTATAACACACACACAACGTAATCCTGACTGGAGATAACGTAAAAGTAATGTAAGAATTTATGCCATCAAATATCCAGTAGATAAGAGTGATGAAAAATATGAAAACATTGTTCTGAATTGTTTTAGGTTTGGTGCAACTGGGAATCATTGTTCACATCTCTGCACGTTCTTTCAGGAGAAATGCGTGTATTAAAATCTAATGTAAATCCAGATATTCACACCTGACGCATGAAAATCCACCCAGTATCTCCATATAAAATAACAGGTATCATGTAAGAAACATAGGAATAAGTGGGAAATTGAAGCTTTAAATGAAGCACAAATGTATTTTTATTAAACTTGGTGATCAGTTTAAAATATGAATGAAATATGATTAAAGCTATGTGGACATTAGAAAGAGGATTTACAATTGTGTGTGTGTCTGTTGTTTAATCTGACACAGAGACACTGAAGAGTTCACTGGAGATTCATAATCAACCCTAAATCCGGCATAGAGGGGTTCAGTGAATGTGGTGTTGAGTGTGTATAAGTGTGTGAGTGTGTGTGTGTCAGAGATGCTGTAGAAGGACAGAGAGCCTGCCGATACATCCACATTCACTCCTGCTCTCTTAGAGGATGAACGGACAGCAGGTATGTGAGTAAAGTTCTTATTGTGACGGACCATGAATCTGTCACTTTCGTAGTACAGACTCCAGGATTTGTCATTGTATCCAAACACACAATCACTCACTCCTTTCCTGTTGATTCCTTTGTACGTCACAGATATTTCAGCACGTCCATCCCATTCAGCCTCCCAGTAACAGCGTCCAGTCAGGTTCTCTCTGCACAGAACCTGAAGCTCCTTATTAAATCTCTCTGGATGATCAGGATACGGCTGATGCTCGAACACATGAATCATCTTCCTGTTCTCATCAGACAGAATGAGACGAGTGTGTGCTGTGTTTGGATCCAGTGTGAGATCACAGGCATCTGAAGACAAGAAGAGAAAAACACCTATAAAACAAAACAACAGTCACTAGACGAGTGTTTGTGTGTGTTTTAGGTGTACTTTTTTAACTATACTTGTGAGGGCCACATGACCTCACTTATATAGAAAAACTTACTAGTGAGAACACTTCATGTTTCTATTAAAATCTAGTGTTTTGCACAGGTTTCCTTGATGGCTATGTTTAGGGGTACGGGTTGGGTTAGGTCAGAAAACATCATTAATCTGATATAAAAACAATGGAAGTCTATGAGATGAGCTCACAAATATAGTGAATCAAATGTGTGTTTTGTGTGTGTGTGTGTGTGTGTGTACCTACTTAACCATATTTTGGGTACAAATTTGTAAACAGAAGTAAGCTAAACCTGTCAAAAATTCCAAAAATCACCTTTCGGAGACATCCTTATTTAAAAAAAAAAAAAAAGTCATAAAGTAAAGCTTTTTTTTTTTTTTTTTGTAAAAATGCACAAAGTTTTTTGTTAGGGTAAGGCTGTGGGTTAGGGATATGTTATAGCATTCCTAACTACCTTCATATAAAAACAGTAAAAGTCTAAGCAATAACCCCATTTACATTTAAACGTGTGTGTGGTTCAGGTACAAAATGTCTCCACAAGCATAGTAATACCAGAAATTTTCAACCTTGTGGGGACATTTTTTTGGCCCCCATGAGGAAAACAGCTTATAAATCATACTAAATTATGTTATTTTGAAAAAGGAAAAATGCAAGTTTTCTGTGAGGGTTGTGTTTAGGGGTAAGATATATAGTTTGTACAGTATAGAAATCATTATGTTTATGGAAAGTCCCCATAAAACATGGAAACCCAGTGTGTGTGTGTACAGGTTTATATATCCTGGTAGGGACTTAAACCTGAATACACACAGACTCATGGGGACTCGTGTCATGGTGGGGACCTAAATTGAGGTCCCCATGGGTACGAAAGCTTAATAAATCATACAGAATGAGTTTTTTTGAGAAAGTAAAAATGCTAAATGTTTCCTGTTAGGGGTAGGTTTAGGTGTAGGGTTGGTGTAGGGCGTTAGAAAATATGGTTTGTACAATATAAGATCAGATAATGCCTATGGAGAGTCCCTACAAGGATAGCTAACCAGACTCTCTCTGTGTGTGTGTGTGTGTGTGTGTGTAGACCTACACTTTCGTAGTCCTGCTGTCGTCATCATCTCTCCTCCATGATCTACACTATAAACACACAAACACACATGAATGTAGATCTGCATCATTCACACACGTGCAGTATGTCAGTATTAGTGTTTGGCATACTTGAGTATCTGCAGTTTATAGTTTGGATCCTGCAGTTTGTGGTTGAGCAGCTGGACTCCTGAATCTCCTGGGTGATTGTAGCTCAGATCCAGCTCTCTCAGGTGTGAGGGGTTTGAACTCAGAGCTGAAGACAAATAACCACAGCCTTCCTCTGTCACCATACAGCCAGACAACCTACAAAAACACAGTCAGATCACTTACAGACACACACAGTCATATCATCTACAGACACACAATCAGATCATCAACAAACACAGTTAGATCATCTACAGACACACAGTCAGAATCAGAATCAGAAAGAGCTTTATTGCCAAGTGTGTTTACACGCACAAGGAATTCATCTTGGTGTCAGGAGCTTCCAGTGCAGAACGTACAGACATAGTGCAGACATACATATAATTTAAGGTACTAAAATGAAATAAAACACTAATAATAAAGAGAATAGACAATAAATAAAAAATAACAATATAATAATAAAGTATAGAGAAAAATATATATACCAATAGAAAAAAATATGAGTGTGCATATGTGCTATTTACAGATGAAAAAGTTATTTACAGATGTATAGTCCTGAGATGTGTTATGTATTGTTTAGATGGAATATGACCTGGGGGAAAAAAGCTGTTCTTGTGTCTGGCTGTTTTGGTGCACAATGCTCTGTAGCGCCGGCAAGAGGGCAATAGTTCAAAAAGAAAGTGGGCTGGGTGTGAGGGGTCCAGAATGATTTTCTGGTGACAGAAATGGAGAAAAAAACCTTGGGAGAAACCAGGCTCAGTCTGGGGGCCAGTTCTTCTCTGGCCAGACGAAACCAGCATGGTGTGGTTTAATTCCAGTCTGCAACACAAGTCAGACCATCCCAGATGAGGCAAACCATCTTGGATGAGGCTGATGACTGTAGTGTCGTCCGCAAACTTCAGGAGCTTAACAGAGGAGTCCTTTGAAGTGCAGTCATTTGTGTACAATGAAAAGGGCAGTGGGGAGAGAATGCAACCCTGAGGAGCACCAATACTGATAGTGAGGGTCCTGGATGTGAGTTTCCCCAGTCTCACTAGCTGCTGCCTGTCTGTCAGGAAGCTGGTGATCCACTGACAGATTGGGGTGGGCACCGAGACATGGTCAGGCTGTCTGAGAGAAGATCCAGCATGATGGTATTGAAGGCCGAGCTGAAGTCCACAAATAAGATCCTTGCATAATTACCAGGTATGTCGAGGTGTTGCAGGATGTAATGCAGCCATGTTGACAGCATTATCCACAGATCTGTTTGCTCTGTAGGCAAACTGAAGAGGGTCCAGTAATGTCCTTTAGGCCAGGACCAGCCTCTCAAATGACTTCATGACCACAGACGTGAGAGTCTGTCGAGGTGTTGCAGGATGTAATGCAGCCATGTTGACAGCATTATCCACAGATCTGTTTGCTCTGTAGGCAAACTGAAGAGGGTCCAGTAATGTCCTTTAGGCCAGGACCAGCCTCTCAAATGACTTCATGACCACAGACGTGAGAGTCTGTCGAGGTGTTGCAGGATGTAATGCAGCCATGTTGACAGCATTATCCACAGATCTGTTTGCTCTGTAGGCAAACTGAAGAGGGTCCAGTAATGTCCTGTAGGCCAGGACCAGCCTCTCAAATGACTTCATGACCACAGACGTGAGAGCGACAGGTCTGTAGTCGTTAAGTCCAGTGATTTTGTTTTTTTGGGGGGGACCGGAATGAAGCAGCAGGGAACGTTGACGATCTGTGTTAAGATGTGGGCCAGTTGGTCAGCCAAACTTTTAGACATACCGGTGAAACACTGTCTGGGCCTGAAGCTTTCCTAGTCTTCCGTTTTTTGAAGACCCGTTTCACGTCCTCTACACATAACGTAAGCGCAGGCTGAATGGTGGGGGAGGGAGGGAGTGGGGTTGCAGGGGGGTAGTTGTATGTGTGAAGTGCAGATCAGAGCAGGTGTGGGGTGTGAGACAGGGCTTTTCAAACCAGCAGTAAAACACATTCAGATCGTCAACCATTTGTTGATTCTCCACAGACTGTGGGGGTGGTGTCTTGTACTTGGTGATGTTCCTTAGACCTGTCCAGACTGTTGCCGGGTTGTTGGCTTAAAAACTGTTTTTTCAACCTTTCAGAGTAGCTTTTTTTTATCACCAATCCCCCTTGTTAGTCTGTTTCTGGCCTGGTTATACAAGAGGGTAAGCATCCTCTTTGGCATGACAAAGCTGTTTGAGTTTCCCAGTAAACCATGGTTTATCATTGTTGAATGAAAGAATGTCCTGATAGGAATGCACATATCCTAATAGAAACTGATGTATGATGTTACAGCCTCTGTGAGCTCATCCAGATTGGTGGCTGCAACTTAAAAAAACACTCCAATCAGTGCAGTTGAAGCAGGCTTGTAAATCCTGCTCTGCTTCATTAGTCCATCTTTTTACAGTTCTTATTACAGGTTAGGGCTGCTCGATTATGGCAAAAATCATAATCACGATTATTTTGGTCTATATTGTAATCACGATTATTTAACACGATTATGAGTGGGCCATAAGACCAAAACTTTATATGAGTGATTTATTTAAAGATAGTGATATATATTAAATATATATTTTCTGTAAATAAGGTTGCTATGACATCTACATTTAAGAGACCAGCGAAATTTTACAATTCTCAATACCACGAGTATTAGGGTAACTGATATTAGTAACAAACAAACAAAAAATGTCCTCAAAATTATTGAAAATAATTAAACTGTCAGTAATAAAAAAGCAAAGGACAAATGCAATATAATAAAAAAATACAAATGAAAACTGCTTTAAGGTTTTTTTTATGCAAGTCTCAAGTATTCAGATAACAGAAATGAATAATCAAATGTAAAATAAAACAGCATAGTATTCACTGTAAGAATTAAACTTTTTTTGTTTCTTAGCGGCAGAGGCAATGGAGCTCCGCCCCCTGGAGGAAACGGAGCCTGGCCCGCAGCTTTGAGATGGTCATCTTCCCACAATAGGAACATGACTCATCCGCGAACGCCACCTTAGCGTGTTTAATGCCCAAACACGTGAGGCAGCGATCGTGACCATCACCCGGCACCAGGAAACGGCCGCATCCAGAAACGCACGGGTGAAACGGCATCTTTAAAAAGACGATCCGTCATCTTTACTAAAATGTTTCCGGCTTCGCTACCGTTCGGACGTTCTTGCTTACTGCTCTGCGCTTTGCTCCCTATTTGTGTACTTTTCTTTGATTTTTCTAAGATTTTTACTTCAGCAGATCAGCACAGTGCTCAAACAACACATTTTTGGCACAAACACTAAAACTAAAAACTCTTTGGAACTGGAATAATACCACGAAAAAAGAAGACTTTGCCTCCCACTGCCAGCAGCTTACATTCAAGAGAAGGGAAAACACAGCTGCCCACATTCAAACAGAAGAGAAAGAAAATGCCTCCTGTTGAATCTACTTGCTGCATGAACTGCTGCAAACTTCTACAAAGGATTGCGGTTCTTGAAACAAAGTTACTTGCTGGACTTCCAAAACAGGCAGAACACTCAGCAGACCGTCGTCACGGACCCCCTCAGCATACAGCCGGTGAGTCCCATGAACCTAGTCAATCTCAACAGTTTATACCAAGTGTAGAGGAACAAGCCGAAACTGATTGTCACACTAATCGATGGCACAAACAGGGAGCAAGACCCAAAGGCAGTAGAGACATCAGATTGTCACGAGTTTCTCGTATTGCTGCCGTAGCATCCTCTACCCCTGATTCGGCTATGACAAGGCTTGTGAATACTGTTATTCTACCACCCCCTATACATCTTGAGAACAGATTTGAAGCATTAATGAATGCGGGTGAGGAATCCCCAAATGTGATTAAACATGGATCGGATCAGCCAGCAGCTAACATCGCTACTAACAGGCGCTCAAGGTCGAGCAGACTAACAGGCGCTCAAGGTCAAGCAGACATTCGGCATTCGGCTCAGAGCGCAGCCGAGCCCAGGACTCTGATAGTGGGCGACTCCATTTTCAGAAACATCAGTAGCAGAAATTCAACAACATGCTGCTTTCCTCAAGCAACAGTTTCTGATATGAACAAGGATCTTTGGAAAATTCAGATGAAGCACAAGACTGCAAATCGAATCATCATCCATGTGGGGAAGAATGATTTTCGGAAAGAGCAGTCAGAACCCCTTAAGAAGTACTTCAGTGAACTCTTTGAAA